CTTTTCTTGAATTTCACAAGAGAATCTTTAACTACGTTTTTATGTAAATAAAAATTTCCTTGGTTTAATCCGTCATTCTTTTTATTTTCAATCGTTTAGCACTACATATGTTTTGGAATAGTATATTACATTACGAGTGGGGAAAATCACTTTTCACACAAGTGATGTACAATATTTTTCCTACGACCACAAAATAATTTCATCAAAAAATGTAAAACCTGATTATTATAATAATTAAAATGTATTTAAAAAAAATAATCAACAATAATCGTAATTATTCTATTTTCATAATTTCTAAACAAATAAAAAAATTAAAAAACAAAAAAAAAATTCTGGCACAGCCAGGATTTGAACGCGGTCGCTGGATGGTTTCAAATTAGCCTTTTTCCTGGGAAGATTTAAAAAAGATCCGCTAGGGGCAGCACTGGTGGGGGGTACAAATGTTTCGAATTCTCTATTGACAACTACGCCAATCGTACATTTTATTATTATTAGAATAAATAAATATTGTGATAAAAAAATATAAAAACAAATTATCATGCCTACAAAACATTGTGCGTTTGCTAATTGTACGTCTGACAGTCGTCACAAGCAAGATAGTGTAAAATTTGTGCCTTTTATAAAACCACAAAATAACAAAAAAAAAAAAAATTGGAATTGATACATTTATCACGAAGGGCAGATGTGACAGTTGAAAAAATAAAAAAAACATACTTTTATTTGTACAAGACATTTTATTAACTCAAATGGACCAACAATAGAAAACCCAAATCCATTGCCAGCGACAGTTTCATAGGTTAGTAATTGTTTATTTAAAGAGGTTATATTTTATATCAGTCTACATATTATCATTATTGATAGTAAATAATAAACTTAAACTTTTTTTTAATTGCGTGTACAATACATCATAGCATAGCAAAAAGAACAAGGGATAGCTTGAGATGGAAAATTTGCCTTGTTTGTAGTAGGAAAAGTGCAGGATGTTGAACTTGGTAGAGTTAGATTGAGTAATTTAATACGTTGTTGTTTATCCGTTAGACGTTTACCACCATCAATTCCAATGAACATTTTTTTATCATTACCATTTGCAATTCATTCTTCAATTATTACATATGTAAAAAACAACATAGTTTATTTAAAATTATAAAATTTTCAACATTACAATGACTACGTGAAAATGCATGAACCAACTAACCTTTCAACTAGTACATTTTTATTACCTGACACGGTTAAGCCACGACATGCTAGCCATCGTTTTAAGTCCCGGACAAGATGATCTTGCACTTTTGCAAATTTCAATTTCGCTCCAGGTACATCATCTTCCGTTAATTCCATTATAAATCTATACGTTCGACGTTTTTGTCAATAGAGAATTCAAAACATATGTACCCCCCACTGGCTAGCGGATATTTTTTTAATCTTCCCAGGAAAAAGGCTAATTGCAAAGTTGACGCCTAACCAACTGAGCTAACAGGCCTTACGGTAATTGATTGATCTAATCGCTTATGTGTTTAACCAGAATAAAAGATAAATATCTAGGATCTAATTTACAACAATTTCAATAATTTAACAATCATATCGATTTTAGTATTAATATGGACATTACATAGATAAAAATAGAAATTATGTGTTTGACATTTTCTGACAGCTACTGCGGAAAGTAGCATATTCGTACGCGGGTGGAAAGTAAATTCTTATTCATATGCGTCTGATATAACGCACTTTCCATAGGACTATATAGTGTGATATGTGTCACTTTCCTACGTGGTCGTAGGAAAATTTATTTTTTTCCGTCTTCGGGTGCAGTCAAAACTTAAATTAAAAAAAAAACACAAGGGGACGATTACAACAATTTAACTAGGTTTAAATGGAGTTTGGCGAATATGGAAAGTCGTTGCACTGAAAATATACTATGCTCCTTTTTCAGTATAAATCATTCCTCTAATTTATTCCAAACAACGCAGAATAATTTATTGATCTATATTCAAATGATCAAATCCATTTTAAGAGAATTATTGAAATTCAAATCGTCTTAAACGTATATAAGTGATAATATATTAGTCTAACGTTTCTGAAACGGTGACAATAGCACTCGGAAAATTTTGAAATAACACCCTGAAAATAGTACTTGAGGATATTAAATTACATTCGGTGTAGCCTAAGGATAATATATTGTACGGATCTTATTTTGTGTGAGAACGGGAACATTTGAAATTCTCGTAAAAGTAGATGTAATTTCTACTTCACATTATAAGAGGATCATAATTTCCAGGCGGATATATTTTATATTAAAATCGAGAATAAGTTAGGTTTGTTTTTTTATTTTGCTGCTGTTGCCTTATAAATACGACGTTAAACTGGGAATATAATAGGGATTTTAACTTTTTTTAGTTAAAACATCAGAAAAATTATTTAAGAGTTTGTATAGTTTTATTATTATATTGTATTCCAATTACTTTTCACACAAGTGATGTACAATATTTTTCCTATGACCACCAAATAATTTCATCAAACAATATAAAACCATGTTATTATTATAATAATTAAAATGTATTTAAAAAAATAATCAACAATAATCGTATTTATTCAATTTTCATATTTTCTAAACAAAATAAATAATTAAAAAACAAAAAAAATAGAAAGAAAACAAAAAAAAATTCTGGCCCCGCCAGGATTTGAACGCGGTCGCTTGCCAGGCTCAAATGGCAAAGTTGATAAGTTTGGCGCTGTACCATCTGAGCTAACAGGCCTTGCGTTATAGTCTAAGAGCTAGTGGACGGCTACCTATATGTATTTGACCAGACCTGAGTTTTTGTACACTGAGGCTTCTATACCTACCATACCTGGGATGGGGAGTCACTAAGCCCAAAGTGGTGGCGCGGCGGGCGCTTAGGTAAGATAGGTATCGATTTTTGGCAAATTTTAAATGCATTTGACAACGTCTGCCCTCTTGAAATTTGAAAATAAATTATTATTATTATCAAAAAACAACAATAGCAGACCATTATCGCGTGTTTAACATTATGGCAGACAGTTTTGAAAGTGCTGAAAATAATAAAATTTTGAAAGTAATTGACCAGATCTGCCATTGATATATTTTATTTATTAGGGTCTTAAAAACTTATATTCATCACGGCAGACGACCTTTTTGAGTACACATGTCAGCAGACAACAAAACCTTAGCTACCACTCGGTCCGATGTATGTGTATTACAGTTCATCAAATTTCTAAGTATAAAATTTTTAAATATTTTTAAAAAAGCAGCAATATCTTTCCTCGTTTTGGTACATTTATTAATACCAATTCTTTGGGCAGTGTATTTATCGTTCTGATAGTTTAAAAATGGTACAGTTCATCAAATTTCTAGAGGTGTTCGACGCCCAGACAGAGAACGCGCTACGTGTGACTAAGATAGCTATTGTACAGTCTGCTAAACAAGTTATTTTAAATAGTTTTTAATATTTTTAGGTAATTAAATTTTAAAAGTGTGGAATAGTTTAGGGATTAAATTGGTCTGATTAGACTTTCTTAGAACGTTTTTAAAAGCAGCTAAAGATAGTATGTATAATTGAAAATAATTATTATGCCATGAAAGGTGTTTTGGAATTCCTTCAACCTTTTAAAATTGAGTCAGAAAATATAAATTTTATAGGATAGCGGAAAATACCTATAATTTTTTTGTAGGCCTTTGTAAATCGTGGAAATAGTTTATATTTTATTTCTACCTTATTAAGGAAAATGGTACCTATTATTAATAACGGTTGTTTCTGAAACATTACTAAAATTTTCGAAATTTTGTTTTTCTACAAAATAATAAACTATACTATTTAGAAAAAAATTTATTTCTCTTATAATTTTATAAAAAATAACAGGGGAATATTTACATTTCTTGATCTATTAAACAAAACGATAAATTATCTCGACGAATGACACCATGTTCTAGTACGGAAGCTAGCTTTACATTTTTGTTGGTGGTTTCATGGGTTTCATATCAATTTTTTGTAATTGTAGTTTACACGTACATATACCTCTTAACACTTGTTTGCTTTATTAAAAAAGTGTGTTGTTGTGATTTACGTCGAAATAAGTCAAAAACAACTTGAAACCCCATATAAAATCAAAAAGGAGAAACGGAAAAAATTGAGCCTGTAAATGAACACAACTCAGAAACAAAAATAGCTATCTAATAATAAAAAAATAAAATTTGATTCTTGTGCAGCTTCATCTATATCATTAACTGTTTTTGGTTTTTTAATGGTTTTTCTTGGTGATGAAAATTCCGATATCTCACGGTTATCGATTCTTTTTTTCTCTCCAGAAATGCGGACGACAGTGTTTTTAGATACTCCTGTGGCTACAGCAACACGATCATTTACATTTTTAAATGTTATTGAAGGTGAATTAAAGTTTCCTTCTCTTCTCATAAACTCTATAACATTGGCTATTATTTCGCGAGATTGACTGTTAATCACGCGGCCTCTTAATTTGCTATTAAACTCCATACTTAGGTTCTATTAACTGTAATGAGCAAAAAACACAAACGAAAATAAAAGAAATGTTTTAGCGAAATTTACATCTGACATTTACGTCTGAATGAAATAGTGAAATACTTGATGCGCAGAGTGTACTTTCATTGCGTAAATCCGTCGGGATGCCTGTCAGTAGTGCTTTCTCTGTCTAGCCGTCGAAAGCCTCTAGAAATTTGATGAACTGTACGTTTCTTGTTTCAGATCAATATGATTTACGTTATTACTTTATAGGAATTAATATTTAATTTAGTAAACTATGTACTAAAATTTATAAGTTTGATGATAAAAAAGTAAATATATTTCGAAAGGATCTTAAATATTAAGGTATATTGCAGATAACAAATAATTATTCAAATATTTATTTTATTTTCTTCCTTTTATTTATTTAAGACAACATTAAAAATAATGAACTAAAAAAATGAATCATGCATGCATTACAAAATATATCTTTTTTTCCACTGATTTGCATTTTCATTCATCATCATCATCGGAATCATGTCTGTTGTGGTGTGACTCGTCTTCATCATTCATTGAATCAGAATCTGTAAAAATAAAACGTAAATTATAAAATAAAAGTAATTTGTAAATTGATCCGAACATATTAGATAAAGAATTGATTATTATAAACTTACCAGGGACTTGGGTAATCAAGTCACTCACGGAAGTTGGGAGTTGATCTCCTTCAAACCATTTAAATACCAATTTGTCGTCTTGCTCAATCCAACCATACTCTAATGAGTCCAATGTGGTAGGTTGCTTTTTGTTAGCATTTTTCCAAACTGTTGAAATATAATGTGTTCTTAGAAATTGCTGGTAAAGCTCACTTTTACACGGTGGTATTGAGCAAAATTCAAAATATTTTTGCTAAAATTTTTATTGACATCCAAAGCCTTATAATTGCTGAGGAAAAGTTGGTACCTTCCATCATCAACGTCAACAGATATTTTTGCATTATAGAGCTAGCAGGTACATTTTTGTATACTGTTAAATACTTCTTGTAACTGGTCTGTCAATTTTTCTTCATCAAGAGTAGCAAATGCTTGTTCCTTTTTTTTGTTGCAAAAAAAACATACATTTAAGTTTGCTGAAGCTACATTATCTGAAGTATGAACAGTCGATGATTCTGCTACATCTTCAGAAGGTCCTGCCTCCAATGGCTGTTCAGCTTCAGTGTCAATTTCTTTTTCTACTTCTTCTGTCTCAGGAAGATTCACATCTTTTACAAAGGAATCATGTTCAATTAATTGTATCATCAATTGTTGAGCTATTAGCTGATGTAGATGGTTGTTCAATTGCTGATGAAGACATATTGGGCTGTAATGGAACTTTTTTTTAACATCTGTTGACACAAAATGTCTTTTCAATGATGTAAATGTTTTGTAACAACTACTATGATATACAGAATCATAAATTTCGTCCGGTAAAATGATATCTTTATATTTCAATCTATGAAATTTTGTCACAAAAAAAACACACCTCAGTTCTTTTTTTACTCGACATAATGTTATATATATTAAATAAATAATAGACTAATCAACAAAATAAAAGAAAGCAACACTATGTATTTTATAAATTTCACAAAACACGAGATATCTGTATGAAGGTACACAAATATATCTGGCACTAACCGTTATAGTGGGGAGATATCTGGGCCCTCTTAGGTATAAAATCTGAATTATTTGAATACTGGTAACAATAAAAGATAATTCTATAGGGTAGAATGAGTACACTAGTAATTCATACGGGAAAAAAGAAAGATAGCTATAGACAGTATATGCATACACCTGGCCGGATAGTAGCTAAGAATTTGTTGTTTGCTGACGTGTGAACCCAATAAAGACGTTTGCCGTGATGAATATATATTTGTAATAAATAAAATATATCAATGGCAGATCTAATCAATTACTTTAAAAATTTTACTATTTTTAACATATTCAAAACTGTCTGCCATAATGTTAAACACGCGATAATGGTCTGCTGTTGTTGTTTTCTGATAATAATAATAATAATAATAATATATTTTCAAATTTCAAAACGACAGGCGTGGTCAAATGCATTTAAAATTTTCCAAAAATCGATACCTGTCTTACCTGAGCGCCCGCTGCGTCCACTACTTTGGGCTCAGTGACTCCCTATCTTAGGTATGCTAGGTATAGGTTCCTCAGTGTACAAAAACTAAAGTCTGGTCAAATACATACAGGTAGCCGTCCACTGGCTCCTAGACTATTATTTGAATGATCTAATCGATTATGTATTTAATCAGAATAAAAAGCAAACATATCTTAGTTATTTTAAAATTATTTTAATAATAATTGTTAAAGATAAATATCTAGGATCTAATTTACAATAATTTCAATAATTTAGCAATCATATCGATTTTAGTATTAATATGGACATTACATAGATCAAAATAGAAATTATGTGTTTGACATTTTCTGACAGCTGCTGCTGCTGCGGAAAGTAGCATATTCGTGCACAGATGGAAAGTAAATTCTTATTTATACGCGTGTGATATAGGGCACTTTCCATAGGACTATATAGTGTGATATGTGTCACTTTACTAAGTGGTCGTAGGAAAACGATATTATTATTACTATATTGGATTGATATCTTAAATTATCAAATTAGATTTTCCTACACTATTTCCTAAATTCGTCTAAATTTTCTATAGTTTATCTCTAAAATTTATTTCTTTTATTATCCATTTGTTATCAAGTTTGACATCACTTCTATTTATGTTTAAGTTGCAACGAATACCCACTGAAAAACTTATTTAAATGCATTACAGAGAGTTACGTTCAATAAATGACTATTATTTTTACTTTTAATAATTAATTTAAACTTTTTCATAAATATTACTAACTGCTACAAACTAAATTACAAAAATCTTATATAACTGATTTATTATTGGAAAATTGCACAATATTTCATGCATTACATTATCTCAAATGGTTCTCTAATAGCATCCCACTTAACAATAAATCACTCGAGGAATAATTCTTTTTTGGCGTATCTACCAGTTGTAACTTATTCATTGCAGTGTTCCAGTTAAACCAGTGACGGAGCTAGGATTAATAGTTGCTACCCATATTTTTTACGATCCTAGATAATAAACTAAATAATTTATTTTTGTATTAGTTTTTGACATATTAGTGAGAGACTTAAAATCTTGATTGATCTGTAAATAAAGTAGGACCTAAAATGGACCTTTGCGGTATTTTTTGTGCCGGAGCATTTTACATAATTTTCTAAAATATAGCAAAAAATAAGTGTATAGTTGAAGAGAGAATAAGCATGAAAATTTACAAAGACCTTTGTACAATATAAACCAACCAAATTTAACTAGGTATATCGAAAAATCTATATTTAGAAAACTCCCTACTTTCTATGCTATAATATATTCTTCTCCAACTTCCCTTGTTGTGGAAAAGCAGCAACAACAGAGCCAGTTCTATAATATTAAAAAGGTTTTGCGACAGGTATGCCTAACCGATTTACGAAATTACACGATCCGCTGAGCAGACCGGTGTCCAATGATTCGAATATTGCGGATAAATTACCGATTCATATGAAATCAGAACAACTTTTGGAAATAAATAAAGCGCAAAATGTCACAAAAGAAATAATTTCTCAAAGGAGATTCTCTTAAATATTAAATTTACCTTAAATTATATTTAGTATATGGGTCGCGCTGAAATTTTAGTGATGTGTTCATTTACAATACAAAATTTAAGTAAAGGACCGCGTACTATTCTTATGCACTATTCTATAGCTAGATTTCGGGTTAAAGATAAAAATCCTGACTTCTTTAAAATGGACACCAAAAAGAAGGGTGTCCCAAATTTTAACTCGATGTACCGTAATCTCGCTGAATATAAGAGAGTTAAAGTGTTAATTAAGTAAGAAAAATCGTAACATTGACCGGGCTGGATAAACTGGCACTAATGCTTAGTCTCTGTAGTTTTCATATGTACTCGTGCAAAGCTTATTGGAAATCGTTCGATATTCGATACTGTATGTTGTAGACTGTCCAGCGGATTTGAGGTTTCAGGTAATGAAAACAAGCTTTTATTTCGCTAAATAAATAATTTTTCTTCCACATCAGCCTACTTCTTTTACTGATCAGTTATCTTTCGTTGTAGAGCACGAGAACTTTTTAAAAGATCCTTGGCAAAGAATACGTACCCAAGAAGCGAAACTGAATGAGTTTTCGTATGTACCAAAGCAAGGGAATTTAATACACTGGGAAACGTATAAAAATGAATCAGTTTTTGTCGTTTGGTTCATAAGAATTAAACACATACTAAAGTAACAATGACTGAAAAATCTTAACATGTTCATTATGTCAAATATATTATTTTAATAACAAAATAAGTACTGTAGGACACAGTCACTACACAATAGCGCAAGTTGATAACGGTCATTCTGCAAATAGGGAATTTTGAGAACAATTATGGAACAGTGGTGCAAGGACCATTTACTGTCTATCTAGGTATCTAGGTAACATCTTTGACAACAAGTTAACATGAAACTCACAATTAGAAAACAGAGTCAAAAGAGCATACATTACTTATGAACAATGCCACCATACCGTGAGGCGCACCTGGGGTTTCTTTCCCAGAGTCGTCACATGGACTTACATGGCCATCATACGACCTATGCTAACATACGGTGCAGTTGTCTGATGGGTACCGAAAATCCAAAAATTGACAGCTATCCGCAAAATAGAACAAATTCGAATAACAGCATGTCTCAACATAACAGGAACTATGAAAACCACACCAACCATAGCCATGAAAGTCGTTCTTAGTCTCACTCCCCGTGATATTTACATCAAGGAGACTGATCTGATGACAATGACACGCCTCTGCACCATTGGAATAGAATCTGACGTACGATCTGGTGAGGCGAGTGAGGAGTCGTTTTTGGCAAAAGGCGCTCGATACGCTCCAACTGCTTCAAGCGAACATGAACCTTATCTCACCGAGTTATATCTTCCATAAGCCATATGAAGTTATAACAAAACAAATAGAAGAGCCGGAAGTGGCAGGTACGATACATATCTACACAAACCGTTCTAAAACAAAACAATGCCCAGGGTATGGAATATACTACAATTCCTTAAATCTCAACATAAACTTCGCAATAGTGCCAATGTAGTTCACGGAGCTGACGGAGGTTTTCATAGCAGCAAAAGCAATCGATGGTAGGAACATACTCATCCATACAGATAGCAGAAAAGCTCTACTTACCCTGAACAGATTACGAATTTACTCAGGGTTAGTACTAGAATGTCACGAAGCTTTGGCAAGGGTATCCATCCAATATGGAGCAAAGGTGACACCACAACGAAAGGTAGCCTTATTGCTGATTCACTAGCCAAGATGGAGGCCAACCAAATACTTTTTGGACCTGGCCCTTCTATTGGACTGACAACATCGGTAGTAACAAACCCAAATAAAGAATATTCTCTTGTGAAATTGAAGGAAAGATGGGATGAAACAAGAATCTGCTGAGTTACCAGGGAGATTTTAAGTTATCCCGAAAACATTACAACAAACAAATACTTGACTATGATTAGACAGAATCTGCGTCTTATCACAGGCATTCTGACTAGTCATTGCCAAGTACGGAAGCATCTCCATATCATGCGACTGTCAGAATTTGCACCCTGCAGGGGGTGCAAACAAAAAGATGAAACCACTTAACATATCCTCTATGATTGCCAGTCGCTCTCATTTATTTTCGGCGAGTATTGGCTAACACCGGCCGATATAAAAGAAGCACCTCTTGGCGACGTTGTCAACTTCATTAAATGTGTAGGCTGGCTCATGAGCTAGGAGGTGCTTATCATTTTCTGAGGATACACAATGGGCATAGTGCCATTGGGTAACCCACCCTTTACACGTTACATATCCAGAAGTACTGTAGGTAGCGGTAAATGCATTTCGATTGCATCCTGATAGCAGCGACTTGGTTTCTCGAAGTGAGTTTGTCATATCTTTTAATTATTGTTTTGTATTTATTTACTGTTTTAATTTGAATGGTTTGAAAAACAAAAAAAAAATAACATATTTAAATAAAAGAGTAAGAAATTAAACGATGCATAATACGTAGGCGTAAATTATCATTATAGGTAATACTGATTTATAAATTAAAAAAAAAACATTGACAGCCAGATGCAAGAACGTTCAATAAAATTTACGAATAACGCAATGTATTTTTTTCTTGTAATTTAAATTTTAAAACTATCTAATTTCTAATTACTACTTAGTTAAATACAACTACTTAACTATACTGCAATTTTCACAAAACGCTAATAATAATAATATACCAAACTTTGCTCTGGTTGCTCTACATAAATGGACAGCTATATTTGACGTTAAACCACCTCTAAAACACTGAGAAAACTTGGCAGTTTTTTGTCAACGAATCGCCCATTTAGTTTCGCTTCTTGGGTAGGTATTCTTTGTCCTTGGTATTTAATTTAAAAATATCTCTAAAAAAGTTGGCATAATCAGGTATCTACTATATAGTGTTTGATCAATTATTTTTTTAACTAAATTTATATAAACGCGGTTTTAGGATCTTGAGGTGGTTTATACGTTGATCTAACAAAATTTCACGGAGAAGATATTACCCTATCTCAAAAGTGGTTGCTAGTTTTCCAGCTTAAGCAAGTTTTTCCTCGAAAATATCAGCTCTATAATTTTTTAAATGATCACCTAGAATCTGTAAATAGTTTTGGCACATTAATCGTTACACTTTGCATCAATTTGTTTACAATACCAAATTATTACACTGCAAATAAAATTAAAAAAAGTATATTATTCTGCTATTTCTAGAAGGCTATCACAAATTTGAATCGGTTGAATCGCATCAATCCTACTTGACTATCTATTATCTGGTAAGGGCACGGGTTGTACAAAGATTTCTGTAAATTCAGTTTAGCTAAAAGGAGTTTTATTTTTAACTGGTAAGTACGGGTTGTACAAAGAATGTTGTAAACTCAGTTTAGCTCACAGGAGTTTAATTTTTAACTGGTCATATTCAAAGTACAAATGTTATTTTTAAAACTAAGTTTAATAATAATCGATGATTATACAACCAGAGCTGTGCCGGGTACTGAGAAAATGTACTCGAGTACCGGGTAATGGATACATGACCTAATTAAGAAAATAGTACAGAGTACCGAGTACTTTACTTGCTAAAAAGTACTCAGAGTACGGTACCCGGAGTATAAGTACTCGAATTTTCAAGTACCTACTTTTAAAGTGCATTTGGCTAAAATTTATGTTTGGGTTATGCAAAAGCAAAATATTCTACAAAAACAGTTTTTAATATTAAAGAATAGCTTGAAAAACAAAACAAAAAAGAGAATCGTAAAAATACCGGCCGATAAGCTACTTTATTGGGCTTCATTATCACCAATTTTTCGAAACTCTTATCGCTGAGAGCATTTCGTCGTGGACTCTTCACTATTGATGCAAAAGAAAATAATCGCGCCACTGGTGCAGACGAAGGTAAACAAGTATTATATCTTAAAACTATTTTTTTTTATTATTGGTTAATCTTTCAACATATTTATTCTGTTCCTTTTGTCATCAATATATTTGTATAGCTGTAACTCAATTTTTGATGTTTTCACCGTCACTGCTTCCTTTCCAGTAGCAGGTTGAGAGGTATTCATAAACAAAACGGGCTTATATGTTTCGGGTTCAGGTTCATTAAAATCAAAGAAGGCATCAGGCGTTGTATCGCTAGAACCTCCATGTTCGTTACCATCATCGCCTTTGTCAATATAGGAGTACATAAGTTGTTCCGCGGCTCTGATTACCAACTTCTTTATAGCGTCCAGAGAATATTTTGCTGTTTTCAATACATTAAACCATCGCAACTTAAATTTTGGATGAACAACTGTAGAAACAATTGCAGACACTGACATCAAATTAAGTATGTCGAAAAACCTTCTATTTAAGCTGTCCATACATGTTCTTAAAAATAATGTCCTTGTCCTAGTGTTAAAGCAAGAGGTTTGAGTACTATACAATACTCTTCGAGGGACTGCAATTCGGTTTCCTTAAAATGTTTAGCCGCTGGCAAAGAGACGGAAGTTTTTATTTTACATTCAAGATCTGGGAAACCGAATCAAAATAGGAATTCAATCTTGTTATTCCTGGATAACTTTGAGTATGTCCCAAAACCTCTTTGATTATTTCAGCATTTATGAGTCTGCCTGCTTTTGCCCATAAGATATTACATTTTAAAAAAAACTTGTGCATGTCTCGTTCTTGGTGTAAGATTTGATTAAATTGCATTTTTGCAATCAGTCGCAATTAAATTTAACGTATGACTGACACAACGAATATGCGCTGGTAGCATTATTGTTCTATTGTCATTGTCAGGTGTATTTGAAACTTCAATTTCATCATATTCAATTTTATTCATCTGATCTTCTTCATGCTCTTCATCTAGTGCATGTCTAGTTTTGTTGACTTCTTATTTTTGGGATTATTCTGTAACCGAGATTTCACGGAAGGCTTTAATAAAATTCGAACCTTTGTCCGTTACTGTCGCGACGATTTGGACTGATCTAATATTAAAATTCGAATTCATGTTTTCAAGCATTTCTCCAATGTTCTTGTAGTCAAGCTACCGACTTTCTCTCCAAGTTTGCGTCTATCCAATGCAAAGTAACACCCATGAAACTTCTTGTTTTGGTGGACCATATGTCAGCGGTGCTACAAACATAGTCTTGCTTTTGAATTTCTTTTTAAGATTCTTTATATCAGAATTATACATCTTATTAATAAGTCTCATTGCAGCTTTTCTTCGGGGGACATTAACGTTCATTCCATCGAACAATTTTAAAAAACTTTCATTTTTGATGATTGACACAGCGGACATAGTGTTAACAATAAAATACACTAATCTTTGTTAAAACTTCTTCTGCGTGATCACACTTTTTGGAGTCATGACACTTCAATTTTGCTTGCTTGGATTTTGTACCTGCTAGACCAATTTTCGAAGTAGAACTCTTCAGCTTGCTTTTGCTTTGTGTTTGAGATAGTCATCGTAGGGATTTGTTTCCATGCACTCTTTTTAGGTGCTTAACAAAATTTTTCATACTTTCCGCAGAGCCCTTAATAATTGTTTTTGAAGGAAGACATAACTGGCACAGAGCTTTGGCGAATTCTTGTCACACGATTCAACCAAGAAAAATGATGCGTCCAGCATTGGGGTGTTCTTGCACTTTCCAATGTTACTTAATTCAGTCGTAGTTAATAAAGATGTGAATGCGGATACTGTGGATGTAGAAGCAGAAGTAGGGCTAGTCAGAAACATTGAAATGCATCTTTCAGTGTGCCTGCTAGAAGTCGAAGTCTGATATTTTGGTTGATATGGATGGCTTTTTAGTCTTAGGGACATGGTGCTCATCACTTTCTGATAATTTATGGAAAGGATCTGGTTCTGCATCACTTAAAATCCCCATGGTCCAGGTCTATAAGTAAAGAAATACAATATTAAAATGTGAAAAAACAGAAAAGAAAAGAATTCTCGGTTACAGAAGAATCCCAAGAATTAGAAGTAACAAAACAAGATCATGAAATTTTTTTACTCATTTTATTTTCAAGTTATTAGTTTTTATTTCTTTGCCTAATATTTCTCATTAAACAGTTTTTATCTTAGGCCATTTTAGATTTGAAATTTGTCCTCATAGTGTACAGTATTATACTAGTCAAGCCCTTTTATTTGATACCCATATTAGATAAATCTCGTACTTACCTTAAAATATAATAACGCCTTTGACCTCAAAAAACAACAAATTTACTAAACGATACAATCAATCAGTGTCCGTGTTCAACTCACAATAATAATAGTTACGTAAAACTGTTAACCTTCTTACTGTTACTTTTAGGTAGTGGTGATCTTGTCCGCCGAACGTTGTCGTTTAACTGTTCACTAACTAATAAATCAATTACGACAAACTGCAAATTCAGAAAAGCTCAATATTGTTCAAATACCCGATAATAATGTACTCGAATATGCGATTCGGGTATCGGGTGCTAATAGAGGTTATTTGAAGAACCGGGTACCAAGTACAGTTGATTCCAAATTCCAATGTACCAGGTGTCGGGTACTCAAAAAATGTACTCAAGTACATTTTTGAGTATTTTTACCCGGGTACTGCCCAGCTCTGTATACAACGAGATTCACAGTTTAGAGTATAAACTAAGTTTACATTTTAACTGTCTATTGTACAACCCTTCCGAAAAATGTAATTTTTAGAACTATGTTTGACAATAACAACCCTAAGGGTAAGTTGTACAATAGGCGGTTAAAATGTTAACTTGGATTAAACTGTGAACTTCGTTGTATAATCATCGATATTCTATATTTTCACATGACCACAAGTTCGAGCTGTAATGGCCATATAATATTGCTGAGTATTGATACTTTGCACTATTAAAACTTTATATGGTTGGTAAAAGTTTAAATTGTTACGAAATAACTATCTTGATAAATGGGACGATTGTCATCAAATTGGTATCGGAGATATTAGGCCTAGCTCTAATTTCAGAAGTAAGAGTGATATGTAGGGGGTGGGTTGGCTCAGTGGTTAGAGTCATGACTTTGAGATCGGAAGGTCTCAGAATCAAATCCCACCGTTGGCCGGGATTTTTTCATTTAATTATTTAAAATTAATTCTGATGCCTTGGTAGGATTCCCCACTCGACCATTCACTGTTGGGTTCTAATTAACAGTGCTGTTCCTAAAGTGGCGCTGGGAAACAGTAACAAAGCCTACACAGAACACGAGGCTAATGGCCGTAGTAGTCGACGCCGATGACACCCAATTAAAAAAAAAAGTGATATGTAATTTTTAGTTTTACATGTAGTAAGCTGCTTTATTTTAACTGATAATTAAGGAGTACCTAAAAACAAAAAAATTTAGAGGTTATGTCAGGGATTTAAAATCTATTATGTAAAGTCATTTTAGTTATAATTTTATTAAGGTAAATTGAAGTGTAAACTAAATTGAATATTTAGTTGGAGTTTACTCTTTGACTGAAACATGTACAATTTATAAATCAGAAAATAGATATATGTATACCTATAGATTAATATTTATTATGTATTAACAGTATTTCTCATTATTGCAATCAGTTAGGAAATACTCATAATCTATAATGCTGGCAAAATTGAGTAACTATGTCGAAAACTATTTCACAAATTTTGGTTTATCTGCCTTCCTGATATGAGTTTCTCATAATAATATTCTACAGTCATGCAATAATGTTCAAATAGCTTAAGAATTTCGGATTAATTTACTTTAAATTTAATACCTATATAGACACCAAATATAAGGTATTATAATAGGTTTGATGATGTTAACGTGAGCAATGAATGGTGGGATACTCTATTCTCTATTATATTCTAGTGCATGCCTTCAAATATTGGCCGTATCGATTATTACAGTCTCAGATTTTCCAATCTCTGAGTACAGTGTATTGGTAATATAGAGGGTTGTTATTAAGAGTTATAAGATCGCTATAAGTGCTCAATAAGACTGAAACGGGGGAGATCTTATTATATACTTCCAGTCTTGTTTAGATAGCGCCAGGTTATTTATTTTAAAAATAGTTTTAGGGCGTGCGTCTAGAGAAATGAATAAATTTAAATATGTTACTAATTGAAACATGAAACATTATGAAATTCTCTCTAGATTTTTTAATAAAACTAGCTCCACTGACTAAATAATAGAGTAGATAGATTTTTAACGTGGGTTAACCCTGAAAATTTGATACATTTCACCCTCTATAATATTAAATAATATTTTTTAAAGGTTACTTGCTGCTACAGTTTACTTTTTATGATTTTACGCTATTCTGTCAAATCACCTCCTATGAAAAAGTATCGAAACTAAAGAAATTTATGGTCACTCCTTACAAAATCTCATTATTGAATTAGATTGGCAACTAATGATTTACATGCAGTGCCTTGTAACGTTATTCCTGCTAAATAATGAATTTAAACACAATTTCGGATATAATAATTATATTAATCTATTTGAATTTATTATGCTATTAAGCCATATTAGTGATTTAATTTTACACATTTCACATATATTTATATTTTATTATTCAGTCATGGTCTAATCCTCCAAGTCCCTCTCTTATTTGGCCTTTGAGGCTCAACATGTCCGATTATCATATATAAATAAACCTCTTAATACCAAACATAAGTGACAACTATGGCGAAGGCGCTTTAAGAATACATTCCAGATTGAACGTGATAATGTTACTAGTTTTGGTGAGAACATTCTAGAACCTTCACCATAATTTTAAATGTGTATATAAATGTTGGTGGAGGAATACGGAGTCAGTCAGTCATATACAACCAGTTGTGAAGATAAATAGTGAACAATTTAAAGACATTCGAAATATATATAAATTGGAATAGTATTGTTTTAAATAAATAAGTGTTCAAATAAATTATTAACAAATAAACTGTTATTTAAAGTAAAGAAACGTAACATTGGTGTCGAGAAGTGAAATAGTGTACATAGCTGGAGACGACAGGAAAGAAAGCAGAACTGGCAGAGCGCCTTAAAGTAGCACTAGAATGTAAAGGTTTAGACTCGGAAACCTATCTATTTTCTGTTGATGCGTCTTCTATAATTTCTTTTAAGGAAAGTAAGATCTCTTGCTTGAAAACCAAAATGTCTTCTGTCTATGAAAACCGATATTTCTTCTAATATTTCCTTATTAGAAACTAAAGTTTCTTCAGACATTTCCTCCTTAGAAAGTAAAGTTTCTTCAGACATTTCCTCCTTAGAAAGTAAAGTTTCTTCAGATATTTCTTCCTTAGATAGTAAAGTTTCTTCCTTGAGAAGAAAAGATGTCTTCTGACATATCTTCTTTAAAAACCAAAATTTCTTCGACAAAATGTTTTCTCTGAAAAATGAAATTTATACTAATGTGGA